TCAACTTGGAATTGGAAGTGCAAGCTTTGCTGTAAAACCAACCCTTATTAGAGAATTATCAGGCATGGTGATTGTAAATTGTGTTTTGGGATATTCGACAAATATTTTCGAGAACGACAGAGGAGAATTGTATGGAATTGGGTATAATATGAGTTATGAGATGGGTATTGATAATGATTTTCATTTCCATAGGATTGTTCCATTGGATGTTTTTAATACTCGTCGAAGTTTGTTTAAATTACCTTTTAAACAGGTTTTAATTGGACAGGATATGTTTCAAGGGGGTTCTTGGAGTGCATTCCTAACGAGAAATTCCAGAATTTTCATTGCTAATCATCGTGTATTTGATCCCAAATATGTTAAAAAGTGCTTTACCAAGAATAATGCACTTTACAAATTGAAAACTGAATTGTTTACAACTGACATTATTGAGAAAATAGCAGGAACCAAAAAGAGATTAATTATATTAACAAGTATCACAATTAATTCAAAAAGAAAAGGGGCATATTTTCAGACAGAGAGAAAAAGTATTTGCTCGACTAACACTACCGCTCAAGAAAGATGAAATAGTACAGGATGTATTTGATTCTGATTACTTTGAGCTGTACAGAACTTCCCTTAATAGATTTTATGGTGCTGGTTTTTCTTTTACTTCTGTCACAGACGTTACGAATGATAACTCTGTGGGGTTGATTAGTTTTGGTTTGCCTCCAGGTGTTAGCATTACAAACATTTATCTTGGCATAAAGACACTATTCCTAAATTGCACAGATAGTAATATGTATTCAATGGGATTTAATTCATGTGGTCAATCTGGTATTGGAGAAGTTTATCAATTGGTTAAATCTCCACACAAAGTATTGTTGGATCCATCAATATTGAAACCTGGTGAAATGTTTGCTGCCGCACCTGGTTTCCAGCATACCTTCTTTTACATAACAACTATTGATTCATCTAACACAATTATGCCAAACATTTACATGTCGTCTGAATATTTATTCAGAAGACACCTTTTGGATCTTGTTGATGCTGAGAATGGATATTCTGACATGGTGTTTAAATTATACCACTAATTCAAAAAAAACAGTAAATTAATTTATTCTAAAGTAAAAATTATTGCTCTCTTGGAATTGGATTGANTGGTGGTGGGA